AAGGCGAATGAAATCAAATGGGCTTGTTTTCCCACGTTTCTATTGTAGACCAGAAATACACGAACAAAACATTCCGACCAATTGTTTCACTTTCAGGAACCCCAAAATACAATCTTTCAAGGGAACTGTTCAAAAAACGAAATCATCTGATAGGATTATGCAACCACTCTGTGAACTCTACGACAAACATTTTTCAAAATGATCAAGCATATTCATATTAACAACAGAGAACTGATGGTATCTTGCCATGTTACAGTTCTAAACACCTCAGTTGAATCGAAACTGGCTAAGGACGTAATGACTCCTCTCTTCCTCAATGATACACACCTCTCGGAACACACACAAACACAATATTCGAATTGGATGAAATTACTTAATTTACACCTTACAACATAATTTCAATTCAACGATAAACTTGACAAACAGACAAAAGTTACATCAATGCGATCGTCTGCGTCACAATTAATTGCAGAAGTAATAATCCAAAGATTGAAAACTGTTGTATTGCTGTTGATCAAGCCAAAAAGCATGCTCCGATATGTAGATGACAGGTTTGTTACCAATAGAAGAAACCAACCGGAAAACGCTTACAAACTACTCAACAACCTTTTCAACGACATTAAATTCATACTTAAAAAGGAAGTCAATGATAAAATTGCAGTTTTAAATGTTCTGATAGCTAGAAAGAATGGGGGGAAAATTGGAAACTGAAGTATACAGAAAATCAACCCATACGGATCAAATCCTTAACGACAATAGCAACAACCGAATAGAACACAACATCAGTTGTATAAAATCATTGTTCCAAAGAACGAAGACGTACCTGTAGTGCGTCATCCCTGTGGGGAAAAGAAGAAAACTATTTGATGACTCTTTCTTAGAAGAATGGCTAACCACGTAACTTCATCAAAAAAATACTTACACAATTCCTCGTCATCCAAGAAGTCAAACTCAAAGACTAACAAACGGATTGACCTACTCTACATGAAGAACGTCTCCGAGATCATAACCGGATTATTGAAGCCTTTTGGAACCACTGTATCTCACAATCCAACAAAATCTTTTTAATTACTGTTATTCGGGCTAAAAGAGACAATAGCAAAAGAAAACAAACTAAGCATTATCTATAAAACAAACTGAAGGAAATGCAAAAACTACTACATCGGATGGAGTTATACCCTCTTGACATCCTTCTACATCAACAACACCTATCAGTGAAACCTTATCACATATCTTCGCTCATCCACGCAGACAACCGTGAAAATGAATTTGACTGGAAAATTGTGGCAATCCTGGGTAGTAGAAATAAAAAGAATTCCAGGGAATTTTTTGATGCTTAGTATTCAGGTCAGTCAGCAATCAGCAGACATCTTGACACTAACCCAGTCTATCAACCAATGAGAAACAACAAAAAGGTCAAATTTCAGGTCATCCGGACAACCAATCAAAATAAACATGGAGACAATGACAAGATCTTGGCAGAAACAACCAATCACGCGCAAGATCAACAGGATAAGCTACTATATAAATTGCTGAGAAAACCTTATTGTTCACATCTTTCTGAAGCATGTACTGATGATGTTAGGTAGTTATAGAAGCTTGTTAAGCATGGTAACAGGTGAAATAAGAGTACCAAGACTTCTGCAAGTACGGAAGAGTAGTCAACATGCAACGCAAGCTACATAAAGGCTGGCACCGAGTAACATGGAATGAGGCATTATGTGGCCGAATAGAACACAATGAAGGTAAATTGCGTAAGAAGCAAATCGAATAGAAACAGGGATGATTTGAAAGTAAATAAATAGGTAAGACAAAGGGTAGACGGTAAATTAAAACCATGAAAGAAGAAGGGGTTGTACAGGTGTTTTCTGTGCACACAAATCGAAATTTTTCAAGTGGATTACTAAACAATACCAAAACAGTGTGACCTTCAGAAAATTTCTCTTTAACTTTACAAACACTTCTAAAAGCGAAGCCGCCAACAACAGAATGGGCAGTGTTGACAAGGTGTCTAGCAATAGTGTAGTGGCGTTGCTAATAAGAATGGATATAAGTAGTATATGTTGAGAGGACGACAGAAATCATAAGGAATTACCAGCTATGTGTAGAGATTCTGTCCAGAGAAATGCAAGGGACAATGTGAGCATATTAAGAGCAAATCATGATAGAAGTGAAGCACTTTGTGCAAATGACTGTCTTAGTTCAAGGTGTACCATATTTGATGACTACTGTACAACATATCAGTGATAAACATTCGTTCCTACATCTACATCTTGTAGCTTTCCACAATAGCACTTCTAACAGACCCATTATAACCTGTTTGCAGCTATGTAGGATAGCGTTCCTGGACTCTTTTGGACAAAACTCTCATCAGATGACTCATATACATTACTTCACAAAAGCATGTGAACACATGTAGGCACACCAAGTTAAATAGATGAGTTGGCTTGTCCTTTGAAGTGTGAAGGAATAATCGGTGACACTTGACTGATATTCATTACAAAGTTGAAGGTTCCCCATAGGACATTCAATGTCTTTTCCTGTGGACTGTCAGCTGGTGAATCACTTTGAAGTACTCATGACGGTAGCTAGTAGTGGAATCCAGGACGCGCTTTTCGTCCAAGTTGAGACTCATCAGCTGGATGTACATGCACCCCAATGATTTATTCTATCCCCACTGAGACTTGAACCCAGAGACTATTATCTACCAGGCTACTGAGGCACGACGTCGACACGTCATGCAACATGTATCACTTGTTGTTTTTGATATTTGTAATCTGCGGTTCCTACGCTGGGTCGAACCATTCAGTCTGTGCTGGCAGATGGGCCCCTATGAGGATGCCTCGATACTGCGAGATATTCATTATATAGAATGATTCGAAACAGTATAGCTGTGAGAGATTATAAATGTCAAACAACAGTCTCTTCGCTGACTCCCTTATTCTTCTTTGCAGATGAAATTACACAAGGGAAAATACACACCTGAAACAAAGTCTACATTCCCCCCCCCTTACTGTTAAAGGTTGTCATTCCAGTGTACACAACCGACTTGACTTAATCTGCACCATTCACCACATTGTCAAAAGCAACGCGATTATTGTGACTATCTGGCATCAAAAGTATTTTTAAGGAGAAAAACTAGACTACTGAAAACTGATATAAGTACCATTACGCACTCCTGATTTATTGTACTCTTAGAAATCCATTTCTACCAGAAAAACCATTTTCGTTCATTTTTATGCGATTGAAGCGAAATACTGCCTGATAAAGATTAGCCGCAGTTAAGGTAATGTAGATTGGAGATAACTTAGTAAAATACTGGAGAAGATTTTTAGCTCAGAATGATGGTGATTTGATGTTGTTTGTAGTGCATTAAAGTGTTCCAGGTAGTGAAACTACTGGTCGTAGTGAAATATCTACGATATGTATCTTGGACCAATTGCAGGACTAGTCTGTTTTCCTCTATCCGCCATTTTTCTCCTCTTGTAATTTGGTCAACCTTTACTAAACTTCTCAGTTTTCTTTGTATGTAACTATCCAACTGCTTAATTGGACTTTTAATTTAGGGGTTTGTTGAGATTTATTGATTTTTTCAGGCTGATATTCATCGTAGACTGACATAGTGTGAAAAACATTGGAAACCATGCGGCATTCAATAGCCGTTTCACCCCAGTATGGGACTCCTCAGCAGTGCTCACCCATGACTCTACTAAGGTTGAGTACACTGTGCTGCAGTCCACTGTCTTCTAATGTATGGCTGCGAAACATACCCACTAAAGGAAGAAGACATGAGAAGGCTTCAGGTATTTGACCACCTCTGCCTTCGTAGCATAGGTCGTGTTTTCTGGTGTCACCATATGAGTAGCGCAATAGTAAGGCGTAGAGTTTCAGGATGGAGAGGTAAGACAATTGGTGGAGTTTTTAACCTTCACCGACTGAGATTGCTGGACATGTGTTATGTATTCTTAGTCGCCATCTGCCTTGTCAGACAATGTTGGCTGAAGTAGGTTCAGGCTGGAAAAAGGCCCGAGGTGGCCAGACTAAAACATGGCATCAACGCATCAAATCGTTGACTGTTCGTTTAAGCCATGTATGGCGATGCAGATTAGCTGGTTGGGGTCCGTGGGATAAAAGAAACAAATGGTTGGAGACTCTAGGTGACGATGTGGCTTAGAACCACTGTCAGTGGTACATATCTATACATGCATTATCCTCATCCCACTCCTCCATTCTCTATTTTCCTACTTTTTACTTCTACTTCTTTTGACCCATTTTTCTCTCCTTCTTAATCTTCCATTTTGTGGCTTGGTTACTTAATGTGCTGATATGAAGTCTGACAACTTGGTCTAGTACGCAATAATGCCTGATCTTATGTTGATTTTCAATAAGTGAATGAGTGAGTGAGTGAGTGAGTGAGTGAGTGAGTGAGTGAGTGAGTGAGTGAGTGAGTGAGTGAGTGAGTGAGTGAGTGAGTGAGTGAGTGAGTGAGTGAGTGAGTGAGTGAGTGAGTGAGTGAGTGAGTGAGTGAGTGAGTGAGTGAGTGAGTGAGTGAGTGAGTGAGTGAGTGAGTGAGTGAGTGAGTGAGTGAGTGAGTGAGTGAGTGAGTGAGTGAGTGAGTGAGTGAGTGAGTGAGTGAGTGAGTGAGTGAGTGAGTGAGTGAGTGAGTGAGTGAGTGAGTGAGTGAGTGAGTGAGTGAGTGAGTGAGTGAGTGAGTGAGTGAGTGAGTGAGTGAGTGAGTGAGTGAGTGAGTGAGTGAGTGAGTGAGTGAGTGAGTGAGTGAGTGAGTGGATCGAACCCAGAACCTTCAGGTTTTGCAGCTAGCAAGTTACTGTTGAACAACAGTTATCCATTGGTCATAGATTTTCAGTAGTTCTCCAACTGATGAATACTGACTTAAAATATTGCTTCTTTTCGCAAGTAGTATAGTATGTCAGACATTATCTACGAAAAATGTGAAATAATGTAGTATCCTGTTTCTCATTATTATTATTATTATTTAGGTAAAACAGACAGAAGTCACAATTCGTGTTTCACAGGATGGTTTGACGGTTACAGACAATTGGAGAAAGTTATTCTTTCGACGAAACTATCCCTTTCATTCTGTATCATTCTGTGCAATTGATCCATGTCAAAGATGGTAAGTATAAGAATTACAAATGAATAAAGCGGTGGTTTGAAATGTTTTACATTGGTTCTCTCCATAGATTGGCATGAATTGAAGAACCAGTAGGAACCTGGTAGAACTAGTTGGCTGTTTCATTTTAATTTGGAACATTTTGGCAATGCCCACCCGTAACTCTGAGAGGGCTCCAGCCCGACGCCTTTCTCTCTCATGGTTAGGAGGTTACCATTTACCCACTTGTATCAGTTAGTAATATGTGGTCATCACGGGTCGGTCCCACTAGTGAATAATTGTCTTCACTTCCAACTTGATTGAACCAATAGGTCATGGTACGTATAAGAACTTCGGACCCCCCATTCTCAGGTAAGCAGCTCATAACGTTAATGGTGCGTACAAATGAGCAGCCGGTAACTGGGACAAGTCTATAGTACTTCTCCAACTCATGTCAATTCGCTATGAAAACTATTTTCAAATCAATTCGTCCCTATAAATCACTATCTCAACAATTACTAGGCTGAACACAGAAAGAAAAACAAGATTAGCAGAATAAACTGTATACACTTGATGCATAGCAGTGGAATGCAAGCACAATAGCCGCGTCAGTCGTCTACTGAATAGTGCTTTCGTGTTTGGAGCGATGGGTAGCGGGCTCGAGTCTCAGTGGGGAAAATATTACTCACTGGAGGACAGGTTCATCTGGCAGATGAGTTCCAAATAGGACGAAACCGGCGTTTCGGATTACTCTGCTGGCTACCAAGTCCACTACAACATAATGGGCATTCAGGCGGTATCGAGGAACCCGTACAAAAACCGCTCTTTCCCAATAGAGGTCGAGTAACTTGATCCAATATCATAATTATGTACATACACTTTATTTCAAGACTTCTCTGCAGGTGCAGACAGTTCAGAGTTATGAGAGATTTTAGGACTAATAAAAGAGAAGCTTGGTTTGAACTTTGAAGTGGAAATACGAGATCATGAAGAGCCAATAATGAAGAACAGCACAGTCAAAATTTAACCATATTTATATGTAACAGGGAAGAATTTATGAACATAAGGAGATTAAGGATCCAGTAAGAACCATTGAAAGATCACGAACAAAGTTGATTGAGTAAATGAGTCCATAAAAGATAGAGTGATACAAAATAAAATTCAATTTTTGATAAGCAGAACAGTAACAAGCTAACCATGCTTTCTTGAGTTATGCAAATGTCAGGAAGAAAGCGCTTCTTAGTGATGTATCCTCTCCAAAAGGAAGTATTTCAGTATTATTATTATTCATTGGTCCTTTGGGCTCCTAGTAGGACATAGGGATTCAGTAGAAAGTCATCATTTCACCCGCCTCCCTCCAGTCTTTCTCACCTCGCTGCACCATTGCCCAGAACCTATCATTTCTTCCTCACATCATCTCCCCATGGTCATCATCAGCTGGGACGCCCAACTAACTCGTCATTTCTCATTTCCGTTCCACTCGACGACCTGGCTTCGCCTGACATGTGATGTCCCCAAATGGTCTTCTCAGTCTATGTCAAATACAATCCCATCCAATCCATCTCCACATTCTGCATACTTCTTCGACGATAGGTTCTTCATTGGTTCGTTGCCACGTCACAGTTCCTCCTTACTCACTCTTTCTCCCCTTCTCATTTCATATGACCTTCACCATGGAGCCAGCGTATGCGGCAGCTGTTCATGTATTTCTGTAGTTTGTTCGATATGTTTTCGAAACTCACCAAGTCTCTCAACCACCACATAGAAGGACTGACTTACTTGACTGGGTTAGAGTTGAATATCTGGATCGTGTTCTTCATTCTGAGTGGAGTGGAGTGGAGTGGAGTGGAGTGGAGTAGATCTCCACACTGATCTTCACAAATTAATGATTTCCTGTCTTGCTGTTTTTCTGATACTGGCTTCCACATCCTTATCTGCGCCGCCGCCTGTAGTCGAAGCGATGCTGCCTAGGTAGGCATGTAGGTAGGTGAAAGAGACAACTTTGCTACATTTCTCTCGTTGTTGGTGTTGTTGTTTTGTGTCCTGATTCTTATGAAAGCATTCATAACATCAATATTCACACCCTGTATCCAGTAGTCTGCTGACAGTCACTGGATAAACTTCTTGTTTCTTGGGGGTTCACTCAGAACCTTCTTCCTGTCCTGCTAATATTCTTGCCCATTTAGGTAGACGCAGATGGAAATGGTATCAGTAAGCTGTTTATCTACTTACTTCAGACTGGCTTAGAGGTCAAGTGTCATGGGTACGGACTGCAACCTAATTTTTCAAACCTTTTTCAATGTTTCAATTTTACGTCTATAGACATTCTGTAATTATGAGTATAATTGCTTTGAAGATAATCGTGGCGACTGTAATTGGAGAAGAATAAATATATCATACATGGTGATGATTGAAGGTGAAGTGAAGATTCGAACCAGCGACCACCGGGCTTCCGGCCAGATGCTCTACTAAGAAATCTGGTCAGCAGTCGAACCTCGTAGCTCAGTTGGTAGAGCATCAGGCTGGAAACCCGGTGGTGGTTGGTTGGAATCCGGCCACGGTTCAAATTTTCCTCTCACTTTCAATCATCACCCAATATAAATAGTAGTCAGCCAACCTCGGCTATCTCAGATAGTTAAGTGATAATCAATATGATGCTCTCCCTCTCTAATTCAGTTACATTCCGATCAGGATGAGAAGTCCTTACTGTGGACAGCCAGTGTGAATACAATCAAGCAGTAGTAACTCATCACGAATTCACATGTTAGTCGTGCGAAACCCTTGCTGATTGAAGTGAAATAGAGTTATTCACTACGCTAATGAGGCATGAAAAACGTTCCAACAAAGAAAGAAACAGTTGCTCAGTACTATCCAATTTTCAGTGGCCTCTGGCTGATATCGACCAGTGATAACGACCTTACTCACGATCAATGATGGAGGAAGTTGATAGAAAACGTAGGTGTTTTCACAACTTGAATCAGTCGCCTCTGTCTTATTCCTCACAGTTTAGTTGACTAATCTAAATGGCTTTATTGAGAACACAGAAGCACTCGGTATCTATTACCCTCTAATCTGGGACTCTTCAGCAGTATACACCCGTTGTCATGTATGAGGTTCAATCCAAATTTGGCATGAGGCGAAATACTCATCGATGATATCAGATGGTGTTGAAACAGCATCACGAATTGGAAAATGTTGGAAACAGAGAGCGAATGATTTTTGGCCCAGCCGCTGAAATGTAATGTTATCGCTTCTGGACCTGATAGTTCAGCTAACATTGAGCAACAAAACAGATGATGACTAGGCATGCGTAACACATGTCCCAGTTAACTGATTCGATGAAGTTTCACAACTTCATCATCCACGTAAAACTCTACACTCCTACTCTAGACTTTTCAAATGTTCTCCAGACGATAAAAAAAAATAGTTTTGAAATCAAGTCGCTTTGCATCTGCCTTCAAGTTACGCGCTTATAAATGAACCAATAGGATTGGGCAAACAAGGTAAATGCTGATTGGTTTAGATAGGCTATTTATTGGTTGAGATGAATAACATTCCATCAAATTAATCATACCATCGATTAGAGTTTATAAACCTACTGAAGTGTATACAGTTTTCATCACTTCTCCAAGTTTTACATCATTATATCATGATGATATGATACTTCATATAATTTATAAATCCTTTATCGTAATCGACTGATCATTAAAATATTCTTATGTTCTCATACACTGAAACAGTTTATATTGTGCCAATTAATATCATATGATTATCATTAAAAAGTAGGTTAACATATTTACAGGAGGTATTCAGATAGAATTATTCAGAAACCTATGGTTCATTTACTCTAAATGTATAAATAATATTTTTATATAAAATAGTATTGTATTTTATATCGTCTTTTTTTCAAATCTTTTACTATTACAGCTGGGAATCACCGGAACTCAGATCAATGGGTTTCAAATCTTCACTGTAAGTTTTTTAACTACACCTTAGTTGTATTGCACCTATGACTGACTAACAGAATCCTTTGAAAAGCATCTTACAAGAGAAGAACAGTGACCTGAAGAGTTCAGTGATAACATCGCTGACTGTAGCTTGGATCACAAGTATTCAAATGTAAGAGGGGGAATCAGCTGTATCAAGGCTACAGAGACACTTTACTGAGGAGTGCCAACAAGTCCGAAACCTAAACAGAGTAAGGGTTCCTGTTGATTACTTTCAACCAACTAACATTTATCAAAGTGAACCACGATGAGGAATCTCTCAGCATCGTGACCAAATTGAAAAGTGATTGATAGAATCTGGTTAGTAGACAAGAGTAGTCATGATGAAAATGATTAATATCCAGTAATTGATTTATTTATAGTCTTCATTTAGGCATTTTGTCAGTCAAGCACGTTGAAAGATGCCTTCGTCTTATAAACTAAATGCCTAGAGAAATATTTCAACAAAGCCTGATTGCTAGCTTTAACGTCCTCCACTACTACTACTACTACTACTACTACTACTACTACTACTACTACTACTACTACTACTACTACTACTACTCACACTACTACTACTACTAATACTACTACTGTAATGGACGTTGCTGATCAGAATGGATATATGTAGGATATGTTTGGAGGGTGGCAGAAACCATAGGCAGTTACCAGCAGTAGATACGAATTCTACCCAGCGAAATGCAAGAGACAACGCTGGGGTATTAACAGCGAGACTGTCGCCCCCGTATCTATTAGACACATGATCTCCCGATCACTTATTCATATTCTGGCTTACACAACATCTCTATCTATGGCTCCTGCAACATTTAGTTTAGTCAAAAAACAGAAGTCATATTATGTCGCTCAAAACGTTTTCTTTTCCGCCTTTTAGGACACTTTCTTCACCAGTGTCCTAGTTTTCCTCATGCAAATCATTTACTCTGTCTTTTGATATTAATTCGAAGTGTAATCACCTCCTCCTGAAGGCTGTCGATTTTTTTTGACAGTTATTTACCTCTGGCGACTCCACTACCGCTACTATTGTACCCACTAGCTGTCTGGTAACCTTAGCCAGCTCACTAATGTCCATGGGTTGGGTAGCGTTGACTAGTCGTAGCTGCTGGGCGATGGCATTCATGACACCTTCAGGGAACTGTCCAGCCAGAAACTGCTCCTGGGAAGTGCTCGTCGAAGTAGTTTGGTCAGCTTCACAGCCAACACCAGTGGATCTTCGTCTATTCCCATTTTCTTGCTCCGAAACTGCTGTATCGCCAGCTGCCTGTCCGCCGAGCAGTCAGACTCTGTCTTCAGGCGTTTAGCCATCCCCTGCCAAGTCTCCCTCCCATCCGCACATTCGACGCCATCATATGCTGCTTTCGCTTTACCCTCAGCAAAGTGCCAAGCACTACAACCTTCACCCCTGAATCCCGGAAACCCACTAGCTCCGCGACCTACTCAAAGTCCTTAAGGAAGACCTTGGTGTTTCCATACCAGAACACTTCGGGTCACAGAATCTTCACCACCTCTATAAGCAGCGACAACAGTTGAAGGAAATGAGAAGACGTAGACATCTGGTACAGTAGCCATCAAATATAGTAACCTTCCACTAAGAGAGTCGTTTGCACAAAGTGCTTCACTTCCTCTTCTGCTTCTATCTTGATTTGTTTTCAATAGGCTCGTGTTGTTTCTTGCGTTTCTCTGGGCAGAATCCTTACCCATTGCTGGTAATTTCATATGATTTCTGCCACTCACCCAACATATACTACTTATATCCATTCTTATCAGCAACGCCGACTACACTGCTCACACTACAACCACTACTACTACTGCAAGCACCTACACTTTATTGAGGATGAAATCGACTGCAAGTAGTAGCATAGGGAAGTACTCTAAACTGTGTGATTTCAGCATAGAACCACAGGAATTCAATTCTCACGCGTAAGCTAATCACTCTATAAAATCCATAGTGAATATGTTATCTTACAGCTAGTAACAAACATAACTAGGATATTATTTTGTCAAACGGAAGCAGTATAGACTTTAATAGTATCTAGATACAACTTAGAGCGTTCCTGTAGTACACAGTAGGCCATACCGATTGTGGAATGGCTAACTATGCTTACTGATTGCCCAAACTTTACTATGTAGAACGAGATTTGAGTCTCTGATCCCCTAGTTAAAAGTCGAGTATCGAGATTTAATCAACCACAGCTCCATCAGATAACCAATGAAACAAAATTGGTTTAGTTCACTCAAAATTGAAGATCCCATAAATAAAATGGGATCAACTAATGAAGGTAACTGCCGAAAATAATGTTAAAAACGATACAGTTAAGTACACCAAAAGTTAGGAAGGATGTTCATTAATGGAAGTGTATAACTTAAGCACTATATCGCGAAATGTCAACTATTCTGTTCATTCGTGATTGTGCACTACTGCGGTGCCCGCGAACGGATGAAACAAACTGTCAGTGGTTTAAAGTCTCCTAAAGTTCCCTGGCTGACATTATTCCAAGATATAGTAGATGTTCAAAAACCCCTCCCAAGTGAATTTCCATTGTATGGTCAGACAGATCAGAGACAAATGACAAAAACGCTTCAATAAAAGGTTAATCAAGATGATACAAGTGGTGACAGCGAAATAAAAGGCTTATCCTTGCTGATTACTGAATAACAACCATCAATAAACAACTAATTACATTCCATCTGGTGTTCTCAAACCACTACTATTCCAACCCCCCTCCTCAAATTTTCGATTTCAACAAATGAAACGAGAGGTGATGACTGACAAAGAAAATAAGGGCAGCAGTTAGTGAACAAAGCCACTATGCAGTAGAATCATAACTATTGATAACAAACTTTTACACAATAGATCAAAGTAGAAACAATGCATAATTAGACGTTAGTTGGTTGTAGGCAATCGGCAGGAAGCCCTGGACCCAGGTTTCGTGCTTTCTGGCACTCGTCAGCAAGATGTATCTACAACCTTGACGGAACTGTTTTCCCGCCTGAGATTCAAACCCGCATCACCCACCGTTGTAGTCAGCGACTTTACCACTGAGCTATTGGGGCTGGCTTACGTGTATTGATTGGGCACGGGAGTGCAACCAACCAACTAACATCTACTAATGTGCACCGCGACGCTGAGCTTCCTAGCTTGGTTGCCACATTGCAAATATGATTGATAGAATGAGATCTGCACTCAGGACTAGACAATATTAAATTGGTTGCACTCCTGTGACCAACGAACATGGATTACATAAGAATAATGCGAGAATAAGGCAAAAAGATTACTAGAATAACTCTAATGGTCCTTTGTGAGGTGAACATATGAAAAATGTCTTCTCTGAACAGTTTTTGAATGTCGTGATATGCTTCCCAACATACAGCAGCTACCTTAACATGACGGTCAGGTTTTCATGCCACAATGACTCAATCAGCTATGTTGGAGGTAATATTTGTTCCTTGACGTCTTACTATGCCAGGAAGAGGTGCAAGATAGGGATGAGACAAAGAGTAGTTATGACTGGTTCAAAGGTCAAATTCAAACCACTGCCTGGACAAGATGTGGTTACAATAAAGTGTTCCCTGTGGATGAGCTGTCTTTCCCATAGGAGCCGAGGGAAGCTAGAAAGGGGCAGCTCCCAAAATAAAAAGTTCCTCACTGTCCTGCTACCCTCTAATCCCAATAGTACAGGCTTTCTAGCGGAATTCAACACAAAAAATTTGAATTTTAAAATCCTAAACACGCCAAGCGCGAACAACCTCAACCAGATATCCCAAAGACTTTGAGAATATCAGTTCCTACTATCGATAACATTGCTTTTCATCTTATGTATCTTTTGCTGAACCATGAATCATTGTTCGATATTATAATTTGTTCTATGTTGTTGCCTATATGTTTATACTGTAACAATCATACTCTGTTGGTATACGAGTTCCTGTCGGGTTGAGTTCGACTCCCTGTAGGAAATTCAAAAATTTGATGATAAGCCCCATAGGAGTAAATTAATCAGTAAATACACACGGATAAGGCGAAATCGTTAGTTCCATCCTGTATCTTAAACTAAATACAGCTTAACTGATGAAGAAATAATTTTAAAAAACTTTTTTCGAAGTAGGTTGTTCTCCGAGCTACAGCTTTAGTTTGTAAACGTTTAATTATCAAGCTAGGCATCACTGTCATCACTGCAGCAGAGCTTCATAAGGAAATGAAGTGATTGATTGTGCATGGGTATTTATAACGTGTTACATCGCCTGAGTGTAACCAGATTAGTTGCTTTATGTGTATGGGCGTATGTTGAACCAATCAGGTTCAGCATATGCCTAAGCAACCAATCAGATTACACTCAGATAAAGTAACACGCTATAAATATCCATATACAATAAATGAATTCACTTCCTAGTAAACGTCTTATGTCAGCTGAACCCCTAGATCAGAGTACAACTCCTATGAATTCCCACAGGCTATGTCACAGATATTTCCTCATTCAACTATTAGTTTTCCCAACTGTTTAACAGGTAATTTCGGTTTAACAGAAGTACATATTTCTTAATTATCTAACTCTTCTGGTAAACCGAAATTTTTTTAAATTACTATTATTCATCGCTTGGGTTCCTAGTGGAACATGGGGATTCAGTAGAAAGTCATCATTTCACCCGCCTCCCTCCAGTCTTTCTCACCTCGCTGCACCACTGCCCAGAACCTTTCATTTCTTCCTCACATCATCTCCCCATGGTCATCATCAGCTGGGACGCCCAACTAACTCGTCATTTCTCATTTCCGTTCCACTCGACGACCTGGCTTCGCCTGACATGTGATGTCCCCAAATGGTCTTCTCAGTCTATGTCAAATACAATCCCATCCAATCCATCTCCACATTCTGCATACTTCTTCGGCGACAGGTTCTTCATTGGTTCGTTGCCACGTCACAGTTCCTCCTTACTCACTCTTTCTCCCCTTCTCATCTCATCTGACCTTCACTATGGAGCCAGCATATGAGGCAGCTGTTCATGTATTTCTGTAGTTTGTTCGATATGTTTTCGAAACTCACCAAGTCTCTCAACCACCACATAGAAGGACTGACTTACTTGACTGGGTTAGAGTTGAATATCTGGATCGTGTTCTTCATTCTGAGTGGAGTGGAGTGGAGTGGAGTGGAGTGGAGTAGATCTCCACACTGATCTTCACAGATTAATGATTTCCTGTCTTGCTGTTTTTCCGATACTGGCTTCCACATCCTTATCTGCGCCGCCGCCTGTAGTCGAAGCGATGCTGCCTAGGTAGGCACGTAGGTAGCTGAAAGAGACAACTTTGCCTACATTTCTCCCGTTGATGGTGGTTGGTGCTTGTTGTTGTTGTTGGTTTGGTATCTTCATCACCTCTGTCTTCTCCACGTTCACCTGAAGGAATTGCAGTCTTCTCTGCCTCATCTCTTCTGTCAACTTGTTAGCTTTTGTTTATCGATCTTCGAGTTTGTGCGACATTAAGCATTAGACATACAACATCATTGGCGAAATCCAAATATTCCAGGGTCTTTCATCGGTCAAACAGTGTATGCCTATCTTCTCGCTCCTCACAGTTTCTTGCATGGTCCAGTTGAGTCCATTCGGCCACAATCAGGAAGATGATTGATGATAGTAGGCGGCAACCTTGTCTTATTTGTCAAGCTGTCTTCACTCCGAAGGCATCACTGAGCTTTCCGTGGTGAATCACTTGGCATGTAGCATCACATGGCTATAGCTGTTGAATGAGGTTGATGAAGGTTTGGGTCACTGAAACAGTAGTGTTGAAGCAGGTGTTAAGTACTTCTCAGTCGACGCTGTCAAAGGTCTTTTCAAAGTCGATGATGTTGAGGTTGAGTTGACTGCCATTCTATGCTGATGATGCATAGTGTAGCGCTGCCATTTGATGCGCATATGATTTGTTTTTCCTGAAACCAGCCAGTCAGTCAGCCTATTTTGGGTGGTAATTATGAATACAGATCACCTTTCAGTCTCTCCAGGATGATGCGGCATAATATTTTGCTTGAGGTGGACAGCAGCATGGTTCCGCGCCAGTTCTTGGAAAGACTCCCTTCTTTGGGAGTTTGACAGGGTAAACCTTGTTTCAATCTGCATGTACCTTTCCTTCCTTCCTTCTAAACCTTCTGCAGTAGTGGTGTGAGCATATCCGCTACTGATGTCTCTGTTTGTTTTCAGTGTTTCTCAAGGAATTCCATCTGATCGTGCCGCTTTCCTGGCTTTGAGTAACTTTATCATAAATCAAAATACTGAATGTAACTTGAGAATTATTTATTACTGATTTTACATCGTGTGGATAGTAAATTATGTTCAATTTTATTGTTTTATCATTTTGTTTTTCTAGTATATTCGGTTTTGTTGCTCGAAAACAGAATACACGAGAGAATATGTGCCATGTCCTTTGTGATACACCAGAATGTAGTGCAAACATTATCACAGATTATATAATGAATCGATTAAATGAGTATTAAATGTGTTCACTGTTAGATGATTCTATATCATATTAATACGAATATTAACATACATTTATGTTTTCATGTATATGCGTGTTGGTAAAATCTACGTTCTCAAAAAACTAATAATCGCCTTCTATATGAGGCATTCCTGGTGTGTATTTCTTTGAAAATTGAAGAAAATATTTAAAAAAATTCTTTTAAAATTTCATATATATATATATATATATACACAATGATACTGTGACATTTAGCTTTTCTCAAGTCTGTGGTGAGATTAACAACAATCGAAAAGTAATCTATATTTTATATTCATATATTTCCCTGACAGTATATTCAATGAAAGTAACCAACTCTTGTCAATACTAACAACCTCAGTCTTCCAATACTTTTAATCATGATTATATAACTAATATTTAATGATATGACAAATATTTGCATTATAAATCATTTCCTTATGACTGTAATATCTCTGGTATGTGTATACACAATTATAGGACCAATATTTTTATTCGAATCTATAATCGAAATTGTAATGAATTAGTGAACTTTTCTGCATTTATCGATCATCATGTGTATTTATATATCTATTCAAATATTGAATATCTATAAATACCAATAGATAGATAGACAGATAGACAGACAAACATATATATATATATATATATATATATATATATATATATATATATCGATCACATTTAATGGACCAACCTTCATTTGTAATCCTAACTAACTATTATGTAGGTTATATATATAAAGATTCAATGCCCAACCGTCAAGGTCATATTTAAATGTGTCATGTATGACTGCATCCAGACACACACACAAAAAAAACAAATTGGGATATAGCACTGTCTATCGAGCCTTTTAAGTAATATTGTCTGCTGTGATAACTGATGGACCTTTAAATAATAATAATTATTATTATTATTATTACTGGTGTTGTGGTGGGCATACAACATGTGCATACATGTGTCTATAATGTGTATGTGTATATGTGAGTGTACAAGCACTTGTATTCACCACAGTACATTATTCACTTATTATCTTCGAATTAATCTTGATGTAATCAGATAACCATGTATTTTATAAATTTAAAGGACAGATGAGCTGAATGCAGATTACATAATGCAAGAAAGAGATCTCTTTTATACTGAACCATTGAATACACTAAATAAACAGATAGACACATACACACACAGACACACAGTTGGAAATCAATAAAAAATGACATGATTTCTCAGATATAAATCCACCTTATTCTAATACAATTATGTACAAGCAGACACATAAATTAACATCTATGCATACATTCTAGATATTCTTCACTTATTTGAATCATTGGATCAAGTTGATTGTCTCTAATTGAGTTTTTCAATTCATTAATCTCTATTCAGTATAATATATTGATTCCGTTCGATTATCTGTTTGGTTGTTTTTCGCTTTTTTCTATCTTTCCCATCAATTATATGATGGAATACTTTATAGCTTAGTTATACGCACAATTCAAATGATTTTAGCGCTTTTCAAATTATACTAACTTGTATTTTACAAAACACACATATTACATGCATATATCCATATATTTATTCTTATATAACAAAGAAAGCATAACAATAATAGTTTTTATCCAACCATTTTGATATTGTTCTATGATATTATCCCCTAGAGTTTAAGTGGTAATAGGAAACTATATAGGATGGGTATTTCTTCATATTTGGGGTTCATCGATTGGTTAAACCTGCCTGATAGTGAGGTGGTAGTAGTAGTAGTAGTAGTAGTAGTAGTAGTAGTAGTAGTAGTAGTAATAATAATAATAGTACAGGTGTTATTAGTAATAATAAATCCACTACTAATGGTAGTAATTGTGACAGGGTTAAGAGAGAATTCAAAGCCTCTGCTATGTTACCATACAAGGAAGGCACCTCAGAAGCATTGAGAAGGATTCTCAATAAGGGTGGCTAGGATTTCAGTGGCATTCAAACCAACAAACCCGATTAGAAACAAGTTTTATAGGTTAAAAGATCCTCCTATCGACACAATTAAGCAAAATAATCTGGTTTACCAGATCCCTTGCAATGATTGGGAGATCAAGTACATAGGTCAAATTAGTCCACCGGGGTCGATTAGAATAACAGAGATCAGAAACTTAGCTAAATCAAGATTAGTAGATCCTAATCAGGTAAGAAGTCTAAAGAAAAACTCGACTATAGCTCTTCACGAGATGACACACAACCACACAGTAGGGTGAGATAGAGCGACAGTGTTGAAAATTAACTTAGATGGGTGGAGGGAGAGATTGATAACTGACTGAATCTTTATTTATCCAATAAACACCAAACACATGCAGTAACAGGAATGATTCTGCACCTGTCCCGGATATATGGAAGATTCTATTACCCTTATCATCACAGAGAAGGAGAGAAAATTAGGAATATATACAAAGACCGTCTTGAAGTTATGGAGTTACCTAATATGAGTATGGACAATAAATTGTGTCCCAAAAGTACGTTATTCAGTAAAAGCTACTGTTTCACTGTGTGACACTTCTAATAAACAGACTAGAATGGAATTACAATCGACCACAGCGCCCAAGTTTTACTCTTATACTAACAGAATTCCAACTCGGGACAGATTGCTTCAAACGCCAGGGCGTTATCCACTACACTACCGAGCCATCATAGCCACTTCTTTTGTGACGGGTATAGTTTTAGTGTTATTGTTTGTATTATCCCTTCATCGATTGGACCAAATTGATCGATTACTATTGGTATATGGGCTCCTGCTGACGAGTCCGAAATAGGACGAAATGAGCATCCTGGATTCCACTCCTAGCCATTATCCATCATTATTATCTGATTTTTAAAAAAAACAGGCAATATCGAGGCATCCTTATAGAAGCCCATATGCCAATGGAGACCGATCAATCCGGTCCAATCAACGACGGTATAATACAAACAATAACACTAATCTCTGTGTGGTGTAAAAAATGATGCCAGTTTGTGACAGAAAACAGGATTAAAATCAATCTACCCCCATAAGTCATCACCGAAATTACTATTCAGTTGTCAGTAGTAACTTGCATTCAAATGAATCTCCTGGAATCTTAATACTCGGAAGCCATAATCTACAGTGTTAAGCAAGTCGAGTATTTCGACAAGTACTCATCTATGGCATTTGGTGATGGTCGTGATATATATATATATATATATATATATATATATATATATATATATATATATATATATATATATATATATAGTGTGATGAATGAAGATGAAATGAAGATCAAAGCTGTGCCAAGATTGGAACCGGCGACCTCAGAGTGCCCAGCCGCGTTCAGCACCACCTGAGCTGTCATACTCAACTTCAGGACAGATATTTGTTTCATACTGGGTTCCTTTATTTGATGATATCGCACACAGTGATAGTATTATTTACTAGATGATGACGTATCCACCATAAATTATCATTGCTCATAATCATATCAATGCAATCACACCACTTTCGACATCCGGTTTTCATAGCCGAGTTACCTTCCAGATTATTGATCATATTTGGGTCTGTCACTATATTTAGCTAAATTCCTACGTCCTGCTGCTGTAACTGACCCTGACCGGCTGATTCGACCTATGTACTTGACCTAACTCACAGTGATTACATGGAATTTGATAGATTAGATTATTTTCCTTAATCGGTTCTACCGGATTCTTAAGCCAATCGACAAACCGTATCTCTGAGTGAGTTTGTAGGTTTAAATGCAACTCTAATTCCAGCCTTGTTGAGAATCCTACGTAAAGTTTCTGATGTACCTTCCTTGTAGGGTAACACAATGAAGGCTGTGAACTCCTTTCTACTCGTGTTTCTGTTATCTTTTCGTTTTTTGTGTGTTTGTACGAATTTCTTAATAAATTGTAGATGATAATTACTAAATATTAGAGCTTCTTTTATGTCTTTCAGTCCCTTGTTTAGGTCGTTGCACTGACTGGTCAGTCAACGACCAGTAGGAAAAACATCATTCACTGTGAGGCGTGTACACTCATTTGACGAGTCTTAAAACAGGACGAAACGTGTGTCATGGATTCCACTGCTAACCATTATCCATCTTCACACTGTTAACAATATTCAATAAGGTAAATACGAATAAGGTACATTATTGTGACCGAGTGGTGGAGATGCGTGCGTGGGTATAATCATACTGAGACTCAGTAGACACCTCAACCGAATACCTTCACGACTGACCTTCCTCACCACCTCTTGCACCAGAAAGCCGCGAAAAACCAGAAGACAAAAAACGGCCTACAACTGCAAGAACAAGGACAAATTTTATTAGGCAAATGCATGACATATATGTATTTACAAAACTCTCAGAAAGTGAAGCCATAAATGAACCAATCCGATTTCTTGTATGAGGTCGAATTTCTCCAATCAGGTTCTCATGTCGGTGCGAGCATAAATCATGATCTGATCATGCCTTGAAAACAACTTCTCTATTGGCTGCCTTTTTGTCGCTACGCATCATACATACGAACACTAGACAAATAATGAATTTTATATTTTGAACTTGGGACTTCGAAGAAGAATACATGGGTTGTGTCTGAGATCTGTCTACAGGAAAGAAACATGGGGGGATAATATCTTCATTCCAACAGTTTCTGTCCCATAAGTTATGAGCTACGACTAGGTGAAATGCTATTTCTAAAGGCTATTTAGAGGATTGAAGAAAACAGTCAGCTATCATAACAGATTTATAGATAAAGTTGAAATGAGAACAGCAGAAACAAGTGTACTTGATAATCCTGAGAAGAAATCTATCTTCCTTCATCTGACTTTCAAAGGAGGTGAACTAATGAACCGAGTTAATAGAGAGGAAGGAACAGTACTAAAAATCACTTTCCCACCAGCTAAATTAGTTTAAGTATAGAAAACAAAGTGTTCATTACAACAACTGAAAGTCGACAAGTCTCTGCTTCACGTATGTATCCATCAATTCACATGTACATGTCACATCATGTGCATTGGAAGGATAGAGTGGAGTTGTGAGATTAGATTTCGTGAATACATTCCAAATAAGCCCAAAGGAGTAGAAATACCATAAATGTTCCATTACTAAATATCTGATGGATACAGAACACGAAGTCCAGGACAAAACAATGCTAAGCAACG